CTCGCCCAGGAAGAGCGCAATGATGGTGCCAACTTGGGCCAGTGAAGCAACGTCCTCCACAACTAGACTGAAGAACAAAAGGACAGCAACTTGTCTGATCCCCTTCCCCCAATTCCTCAGTGCTGTTCCCATCCCCCAGTTCCCCAATTTAAAAAAAAATCTTAAAAAAGAAAAGAAAAGAAAGGTCTTGCTGTGAAGGTAACATTTGTAAAAAAAAGAAAAAAAAATATCTCTGAGGTTTAGTATCTTATTATGCAAACTCGCTTCTGCAAAATATTGATTCTTTAGAAAAATCTATTCTGCTAAATGTAAATAAAATTTCAGGCTTAAGAGCAAAATATGATGACATTTTCTTTAAAAATAACGTTATTAGAATATTGCTTTTAGATAATGCAAGAATCCCCAAAAAAGAAAATAAAAATGTAACTCTGTATTTATGAATATAATAGGTGCACAAGCCAGAGAAATTCTTTTGCTCTGGAGAAAATTAAATCATTGGTGAGGAAGGGGAGAAGGAGAGACGGAGAAGCTTAGTATCGAATTGAAGAGGTCTTGTAGAAAGGGTGAGAACCATTAAAATTTGACTATATTAAAAGGGAACTCCTGCTTCTACATATGATAGTCAACTAGTTCTTTCTCATTGAGATAAGAATTTAGACAATGCAAATAAGAGGAAACGAGGCAGGAGCAGAAAATCATTTGTTAAGTCCTTAATTGTAGGTAAATTATCTTGATGTTTGGAAATACAAACATTTTACAGTTCCTGGAACATTCGATAGAGGGTCAGTTTGGCCTCAGCCCATCTGTTTCAGGAAAAAGTTGATAATGAAGGCAGAGGAGGAAACATCCCTACTCTTACTGAATCAAGAAATGGAAGTTCCTTACTGAAAATTCTCAATTCTTACTTGGTAGCTGTAGCTGTCATCATTTGATGGGTCTCTCTAGGGCAGTGGTTCTCAACCTGTGGGTCTTGACCCCTTTGGGGGTTGAACGACCCTTTCACAGGGGCCAGGTACTCGTATGTGGGCGTATCTGCATGTGGGCCTGGAGACGGATAGAGAAGCAGTGTCTTGGTTCCTAAGACCATCGAAAATATGTGTTTTCCAATGGTCTTTGGCAACCCCTGTGAAAGGTTGAGAACAGCTGCTCTAGGGCATCAGACACAAGCACCACTAATCATAAGTAGAAAATACATGGAAATGTTTTAAATGACCTCTGGTTTCTCCAAACTGTACTGCACTAGTTTGTATTCCCAACTTAATCTTCAATTTTATTGATTTTATCTTAAATTTTATCATATATATTAAGGAAAAATGGGACTCATTTTACTGAAAACTTATTATGTAAAGAAGCATTTAATCTTTAAAACAGGAGAGAACTGAAGTTGGAGAGCCTTAACTGAAATTGGTTGTTTCATAAACTGTCCTTTAATTCAGGTGTGATTCAGGACTTTCTTTATGTTGTCTGTAAGAAGATTTTTTTTTAAAGTAAGATGGGGATAATTACATTATAATCTTTCATATAAATTCTTTTATATGAATGAAGAGACATATAGTAGTTATAAAAGGGAAATGAAAGAGATTCCTAGGAAAGTGGCAACAGTGAATATTACACTAAAAATCAGAATCTTGGCATTTAAAAAATAGCAGAAACCTAGACTTTTGGATCCTACTACTCAAGGTGGACCAGCTGCTTGCGCTTCACTTGGGAGCTTGAGAGAAATACAGAATTTTAGGCCCCACTGGACCTCTTGAATTTAAATAACCTGCATTTAAATAAGATCCCATGGGGAAATGTGAGAAGGACTGGTCTTGGTCACTCTCCAAACCATTTGCTTAACACCTGAGGAGCATAAAGACCTAAGAGCTGAAGTGCTTGCCTCAGTTGGGAGAAACAGCTTTCTTTAAAATACAATAGTAATTCATTATCTATGATTTTCAGTAATGAAATGACTACAGCACAGGTAACTGGATAATCCGTTGTGCATTAGATGAATTAACAAATAATCTTTAAACACTTTATTCAGCACTATCCCTGATGATGTGGGAAGGAGGCACGGGTCTGTACATGGCAGCACAGCCTAATAAGGAGCTGCACTGAATGCAGAATGGGAAATGGAAGATGACATTCAGTTTACGAAGATGGAAACGTACCAGGAAGCCAGAAAGAAGGAGCACAATAAGTTTTTTATTAACTTCTTTGTAATTTTACCAGCTTTCTGAGAAAAACTATTGTACTTTTTACACGTCATAACTGATGCATGCAACCAGATGTGACCCTTTTAAAGTGAGATGTGACTTAGACAAAACTACAAGAGGACAGAAAATAGATGTGTATCTACATTTTCTCTTTCTATTTTTCGATAGGCTCTGTTGTCAACTGAAAAACAAGAACCAAATACTAAGAAATTTGCCTTGTCAGAACTCTTTTTGGAAAAGTTTAATATTTCAAATTCTTATAATTCCTTCATTGTACGATCTATAGAAGAGGGAAAATGCAGATGTAGCAACAGGGATCCGCTTGTCTAACAATCTACGGAGCAGAGGGTCACACACAGTAAACATCAAATACCTTTGTAGCTCTGATTAAATACTGTAGAATAGTTTTGGGAAGTTTAATGACAGACTTTGGCAAGGCTAAAATGGCTGATGCAAACTTCCCAATAGCTCTCTACAAAGAAGGACAAAGTAAGAGTAATTAGTAGAAAAAAACAAGAAACTAATAATTTAATATATGACATCAGTATGAGTTTGTCTCTACAATTACATCAACTAGGTTTATATGTGCCAGTCATTGACGCTAGAATAAAATGTGCTTTGCTTGTAAGTTAGGAATAAGGAAAATAATCAATCATTGGAAGAAATCCATTCAAATGGTGAAGATGATCAGGGTCTCTCCATTGCTGCATGATAAGTGATGGTTAGAATAAAAATAAACAAGTCAAGTCATTAGTATTTGACAAGCCAGCAGTACACATGCACATAGACACAGTCATCTAGAAACACACATAGTTAGCACTGGTGCCAGTGAGAAAGCATGAGAGCAAGCTGTCTAGGTGAATGGTTTAGTTTTCCAATGTCATTAGGAAGACAGAAGTGAATGTAACCTGGCAGCTTGAGAAGACTTGGCCAGCAAACTGACAATGGCCGCTTCATGGACACACCACTTAGCTTGATGAATATAACTAATGTAACTAATGGGTAACAACTCCTAATGTGTGGCTCCTTCATTTAAAAAATATATGTAAGCTTTCATCCCATATGTAACTCTATTGACAAATCATCATGTTTAGGTAGCATTGATTATATACTCACTGATTCTACTATACTTAGGTTAGTGAGCTATATAACTGAGAATGGTATGGCAGGTTCTGAAAAAGAAAGGCAGTTAAGCTGAAAAAGGCAGAACTGTGCTAGATAGTTTCATTATTTCAATGAATTCTCAAATCTATAGCAATACAAATGAAACTAATTTTCAAAACAAACTAACATTTAAATGACCATCTGTTTCAAAAAAAGTATGTTATTTTCATGATCTACTATTTCACATATTGAAATATAAGTCCACTTATGCAATCCAAAGCAATGCCAGATAAGCTTTCCTCACCTCCTACTTGCAACAGAAATATAAAATTCACCCAAAAAGGCTTTATTTTTTGTTTCTAGCATCAGAAAATATTTTGACGCAAGTGAAAGGAGACCTGACTGGAATCGCATTCTTGCATAGCGGTAACTACAGCAATGCTGAGAGCAAGCAGCATTAATTTAATGAGACGTAAACAATTTCAAATGTAAATAAGAAACTTCTGGGAGCTATAACATATATGAACATGGCAGAAGAAGTCTAAGCCTGCAATCACGGCCTGTCAAAAAGAAAACTCTTCAACTAGCAAAGGACATGATTTCCCCAATCTCATAATTACCTGGAAAGCTGACTTTCTTGGAGGTTCTTCTTCTTCCTTTTTTAATTCTTCCTCTTCCTCCTCTTCGCTATCCGTTTCAAACAAATAATAATCTCCACTCCTGACCACTAAGCAAACAAAATATTTACTTATTTCTTGAAAGAGATATGAGATAATCAGAAGCTTATCAATGAAATGCACACACACCCCCAAATATACACATACATTTTCTATAAAAAGACCACAGCAAGAGATGTTGGTAGGGAGGAAAAAAATAAGAGATGAAGAATAATCATTCTAAGCTATGCTACATGGTTTTGGCATGACTAGGTCTATAGAGCATGAGGCCTTGTCTATGGTATGTAAGAGAATTGGTCAGTACTGGGTTCACCTGGTATTTTCTTCCTTCTTCATTGTAAATTTTACATTGATGCATCAAAACAACTCTGAAGCAATCTGTTTTGTTACTAAGATGACCAAAATAACTGAAAACTATTTTATTATTTCACAATTTGGCAATTTGGGTCCTTTAGACAAGGCCAAAGTGAAGTGGAGGATTTGGTGTTGCCTAAATGGGTCCAAACTATTGCAGAAAAGCCAGTCAGGAAGACTCAGGATCAAGAAACAGTGTCAGCAACGTTCTACCTCACTTTATACTATGCAGGCCTGGCTTCTCCACAAGGTGACACAAGGGACATAAGAAATATGGCAAGATATTTCAAAAGAGTTTTTTTGTTTGTTGTTTTTTAAGAACACATTGCCATACGAGAAAATGGGCAGATAACATAAAAAAAAAATACCCAGCCACAATAATGCCACCACCACCACTCTGGCTGTTTCTATATGTAGCATGAGAGAGACTGAGGCACAGTGGATATGGTCCATACAATTCAGTGCTGTTAGGCTTCTGGTCAACCAGGAGCGTCCTAGCCGCTTATTGAAATTTGAAGAGACCTGTACTGACCATAATAAGACAAAGCACAAACAGTAAAGATCGTCTTTGCTTTGCCAAGTATTTGCTCTACAAGGATATATTGCTATGCTAAGAGTTGGGAACAGAGACAGTTGAAATGTCCAAAGATTTAAAGAAATTTAAGAACCAAATCTTTATGAGTTTGATCATTATTTTCAGTTTATCAGAGAAAAGAGACCCAGTATACACATTTCTGATGCTATAAGAACTGTACCATCATTGTAGGAAAACATATAAACATTTTCAAGTTATATTAAGTTTTCAAATGCTGAGGTGTCTTTTGGATGACATACATCATATATTCAGTTATCTTTTGGACTTATACATTGTAAAGTAATGGAAAACCTTGGCTTGTTTAAAATTAGTTGCTTGAATATCACTAAACATGGTCAAAAGTTAAATAATTTTGCCCATGATTTCAGACATATCTGAGGCCTCCATCCAGGAAGATGCAGAGTGAATGAATTGGGCCTTATATCCTTGAACAGAAGCACTGTGATCTGTTATTTTATTTTTTATTTTTGAAGAAAGAACCAGACCCAGAGTACTGGGTCCAGGCCTGAGGAAATAAATGCAATACAACATAAGGTAAGAGTAAGCAAGAACAAACCAAAGTTACAGCATTACGTTTGACAGTGAGGAGACTATTAAAGTAATGCCTTCATGTAAGCTCAGAGATTTGCAGGAAAGTTCTATGGACTGTATGTCACATGGTCATTGGTAAAAACAGAGTATTATAAGATTGAGCATTTAACCCTCATTATAGGCTTTAAAATCAACAGTAGCTTAAATTGTATTCAATCATACCTTCTATAACTTTCATCCATGTGGACACTGTGAGCCCAAATATTTTTCATCTCAAGCAGTCATAAATTGATTTTATCATTTAAAAAACTTTACCAATTTGTATATGAGAAGTAGAATTAACACATTAAAAAAATAAGAAAAATGTTGAGTCTTCTATTCCTTTATAAAATGTTATTGAAATAAAACTAGAAAAATAACAGAGAATATTTTCTTTAGTGCTATCTACTAATAAGTAGAGAAATTCATACACATGCATTTGTTAGTTCAGAAAGAGACTCTGCCTCCAGTCTGTGTCCACATATGTATCATAGATGTTGATGGTATTGCTGAACAACTGAGTATGAAAATAACTTTTAAAATCCCACCCTCTGTGATGGGCTCCTTATTTCAAATATTTCACAGTAAAGTCAGGCTTGGCATTGACTTATGCAGTATAGAATTGATGTGAAGGCATATTATACTGAATGGAAGGTATCATTGAACAGCAATAATGCATCTGTATGTGTGTACATAGGTATGGAAGTTGGAGATTTGTCACTTGCAGACTATGTTAAAATAGTGAATGTTTACCAGTAATATGAAGAACATAGCAATGTTATTATACTATCAATGGATTTACTCAAAGGTATATCAGCTACACTTATTTTTATATTTGGCACCTCTAAGAAATATCTATTTAAAAGCCCAGTGACTTTTAAAGAAATAAGGGCTTTTAATAAAGTGTTTCTAGATCTGAAGAAAAGTTTTGGAACTTTTATAGCCTAAAAAATAAACCACATATTCATTCCTTTTTTTCCCTCACAAGCTTGCAAAAAGAAATACATTTTGTAGAAAAATTTTAACACCATGCTCAGAATCTGATTCCAAACCATGAATTACACACATTCCTGCATTATTGCACCATCAGGTATTGGAACGAGGCACATGTAGTTTAAAACCAGTCTTCAAGAACTTGATATAATGAGGGTAAAATGAATCAGAAAATCTAAAGTCAATAACCTTCATAAGAAGTTCTTTAAATTATTCCCAACTTGTAAAATGATTATCAAAGACCGTATCCAATTCCTTCTGAAATGCAATGTTTAAATGAAAAAGGAAATACAACCACAATGATTGCAATGGGAATTCACCCCAGCTGAAAGGACAAAGCATTCAGTCTGACATAATTTTGAAATGGATAGGTCTCTCTTAACTAGCAAAGGGCCCTTTAAAAACAGAAAGATAGGCATAGTTTACTTGTGACTTGATAGAAATAGGCATATAGTGCAATGCATTATTAGATTATTAGCATGACTAACATGCCAATGGACAATAAATTAAAGTGTCACACAGAATTTCAACTTGAATGTTTGTCTTCTGACTTGGGTAACAAATTAGATGAAACTTTATAACTCATGGATTTTTTTTTCCGTCAAAATGCTAAAATTCAATATTTGGGATTAAATTTAATTACATCTAAATATACTGAGCAAATTTTGAATATTGCTTCATTAAATTGGCTTACTAATTTCAGAAAATTATTTTAGAGCAAGAGAGGCCAACACCAGATCTAGGTGACACTAGGAATTAGGTATGGGAAAAGATTCTGATCAATCTGATTTTCTAGTGATTCTGACTATCCCATTAGTAGAGCCTCTTCCATCATCATGTGATGTTATGGGTCTTGGTGACATTGTCTGATTACACTAGCTACAGTTATAGAAACATAGTATAAGACATAAAAGATGAAAGACATTACAAGTAATTTTCAAAATAATTAATAATTAATCAATATTCTAACACATTTAAGAAAGGCTAGATTCAAATGGATCATTTCATTTTAATACCATTGGTCAATAGTGAGTGATATTTCTTTGGCTAAGCAGAACAGATATAGCCACTGAGGTCCATAATTCCTCATTCTTCTTTAGGACCAGGAGGGAAAAACACTAATTGTATATGGATATCAAGTTCTGCTTTTCAAAATCTGTTTTCTGATTTTGCTCTTAATTCATATGGCTGAGCTTCAGGTGGCTCTGAGCCACATGCTGGACACTGGATTTGGAGTGCAGTTTTAGAGTCTTTTTGAAACTAAGGAGGAGGCAGAGTGAGAAAGTAAATTCACTTTAAGTTATCTTCATTTTTATATTTAATAAACTGGCAAAAGTCCTTACATGCAAATAAAATTAAAGCTCTGGGAATGAGGGTGGGGAAGGCTAATTGGCATCCATGCCTAGTGCCTTACAAAGAGGGTCACAAGCACTGTGTTCATAATGATTATCCTTCAACCAGCATCCAGGAGGAGCTGAAACTCAGTTTTAATAAGCGTTTTCAGCCATAGAACAAATACATACCAGCAGAGCTCTAGATCTCAGAAGTGGATAACATAGTGTCAATTATTCTTCCTTTTCCGAGCCCATAAATGGTGCTCAGGAGTATGTAAGCAACACATTTGGCTTTCTTCAGCCAGCACCAAAATAAGCTGATCTTTCTGGAAGATTCCATCTACAGGGCTCAGAGACCCATTTACATCACAATTTTCCTATATACTGACCCCCTATCAAGTCACAAGGATCAAACCATGCATGGAACACACAGGTCATGGGGACGCCTGAATTCTGGTCAAGGATATAAGGGTTAGAATCAATGAAATTGTAAGAGGATCGAGAAAACCTACTGGAAGCATGATCAACCCAAGGCCGCCACCACTGCTTTTTTTTGCCCTTGGCTTTCTTTTTGTCTGCTTCTCCTAAAATAAAATATGTCCAAATATTAATTCTTAGAAAGTGAGAAAACAAATTTTGAAAACCACGCTTTAACATCTCAATTGTCAAAATCTAGATAAGTTGCAAAAGTAATCCGAGGTCAGGAAAAGGAACTATACCAAATCTAAAAAGGTTACATGTATTAGCAGCCCATTTCACAAGGTAAATACTAAATGTTCTATTAACACTATGCCACAGTTTCATTTTCTTTTTAGTAAATGAGGGTATAGAAAGAAATATAAAAAAGAAGGGATTATCTGTCAAAAATACATTTCACATTGAATTTTCTATTCAATTAACATAAAGAAGCATCACCCAAAATTTATAGAACAATTTAGTGGCAAATACTTTGTTAAAATGTATAATACCCCATAAGCAGGAATCTTTCGTGTGATTATTTTAATGCATGGCTGAAAAAAATATAAATTTACTGGTGATAATAGAGACTATGTACTGGAAAATATCATGCATTAATTCTTCATTCCCTTCAAAAAGAAAAGCATGCAAACATCTACAAAAAGACCTTTAAAAACTTAATTTGATATATATATATATATATAATTAGATATAATAAACATATATTTCATCTTAAGTTTCAATGGAACAGATAATAACTATATGATATTCTAACTGCTATTATTCAGATACCACATAAAATATGCATATATACTTAATTTTCATATAAAATTTATAGAAATCAAGGATAACAGTAAGTTGCGTATCTGAAATATCTTCCCTAAAAGAACAAATTAAGCAAATTCATGTCCATTTTCTTCAGAAGCACTTATCTGTGAAATAGAAACTAGGTTATGTGTTGATTTTTAAGTTGTCTTGCTGAAGAAAGGATATTCGTAAAGTCATGGATTCATTAAATATGTACTTTATAAGATAAATAAATGTATCCCATTCACAATGGGAAAGTAAAACCTGCTAAGTTAAAAAGAATACATTGATAATATTGGCAGAATGAAAAGTAACATTATTTTACAGCCCTACCCCAAATCATGCTATTATTCAATGTCAAGGTATTTGAATAAGAGGGAAATGTCTCGACATACTATCGTCATCCTCTTCAGAGTGTTTGTGGATGTCTTGGCCTTCCCCTGATTCCTGGGTCAAGCTCAGCATCCTCTCCTTACCCTTTTTGTATTTCTGTTGCCTGGCCTTGATGCGATCCATCCTGTAAGATGCAAGAGCAGCAGCAATGCCAAGAACACGTCCATAGTTATATGATTATACTTTGGTTTTGTACTTTTATGTATATAGCTAAAATCAAGAACAAAGTGGTCAATATTTGGGACTTTTTAATAGTTTCTTATTAGTAACAAGTATCTCCATTTTTTTTATATACCCAAGCTAATTTGCACTACACAAATGCTAGTCTTAATAATATGATCAATAATAATTATGCTACAGTTTGATACGGAATACTTTATGTCCACTGACACCTTGTACTATAACCAATCTGAACAAAGCATATTATGAAATGTAAGTCTTTTATTCTCCTATGTTTTGCATTTTAAAAAATAATATGTCTATCTTACACAGTTGCTGTGAACATCAAATTAAAAGATATATGAGTGTGAGAACTGTTTTGTAAATAGCAAGTCTTTTCTCAAATGTTCGTAAGTATTCTATTAGACAATATGCCTCTCCTCTATTTCAAATCTAATATCTTATTAGATATGGAAAATGATACATTTTCCATTATAAGATCTGGAAAAATGGTTCATTTCACCTTTAATTATTGATTTAGTGCCTTTTATTTTGTCTGCTTATTCAGGAAGTCTATTCAGAAACTGTAATGCTAAACTCTATTTCCCAGGTCTGCTCTCCTGAAATGTTTCATTTCTTAATTTAGTTTCTTAAAATTCAGGATATATTGCTCAAGTTTTTAAACTGATTTAAGCACTAATTCTGCTTTGTGTAGCTTAAACAATATTTTCAGTTTGTTTTTTGCAATGATCATTACCTTTATTCTTTTTTATTCTGACTTTCTGTCACTTAAGCAAATGAAAAGATTGAGTGATGTGAATTATAGTAACAGGTCTCATTTAGGTAACATATTCTAAATGTGGATCCAAATTTGTTATTTCTCTAGACTTGATTTAGGTAGCTAGAAATAACAATAGTAACAGTTACATCATATTGTATTCAATATTATATGTAATATCATATCTTCACTTGTGAAAATAACCATGCTATGGGATAGTGTAATTTATACTAGCAAATAGTTTTGCATGGGGAAAAGTGAGGTCATAAAAGAATGAAGCAGTCTTAGCAAACTCAGGAAATTTTCCTGGTAGGGTGATAGAATGTCTTTATTTTCTTGGGAAAAGTGGTTAGGTTCTGATTTTTAGACCATCAGCTCTTAAACCTGGCCCCTGAACACATGAAGTGCTACCAATCCTCAGAAGTTCCATTCATTGCTAGAAATTTCACTCTATGAAAATTCTTTACAATGGGCTAAAAACAAAAAACAGAGTTCAGAATTCTTAAATATGTTGGGTAAAGTCAGTCCATTACTTGACTTCTCTAGAATGTTGTGGTGGAAAAGGTCTTGAACTAAATATAGGGAAATATGGGTTGTATTTCTAGTGCTGCCTCTAGTTAGTTACGGATTTTAAGTCATCTAATATCATGGGTCATCAGTTTCTTCCCTAAGAGACCAGATTATATTACCTCTAGAGATCCTTCCTTCCAGAGCTAGGACTCTGAACCTATTCCCTTTCCCACAGATGTAATGATCATTTACTTCAAGTGTCTGGCATTGGGCAAGACGCTGTCTCATTCATTAACTTGTTTAATCTTTATAAAAACCCAGGTAGACTCATGGGCACTAATTTAAAACAGGACGTTGAAATTCAGAGAATTTGAATGACTTGCTCAAGGTTCCAAAGAAAGCAGTTGAACTAAGATTTGACACTGGTCTTACCCAAGCCATCTCCCCTTCCATCAGGCTGCAGCCATGTTTCTTTTAAACAACTTCCATTTTTGGTCTAGCAGCATAAGTCACAGCCTGACATGAGAATAAATACCTAGGCAGTTGTGAAAGTTAACACGAACAGGTTTTTCAGGGAGGTTAGTCTTCTTGAGAGCTGATAGTGGTTGAATGAAATCATACAAACCAAAGATAAAAGGGAAGGAGAAGGAGAGTAAATGAAGCATTCTTACTGCCTCTTCAGCTGATCCATCGACTTTTTCTCTTCCTCAATTCTTGCCTTTACAGCTTTTACAATTGTGGCTTGGAAAAGTTCAGCCCCTCTAAAGGAAAATTGGAAACAGAACAAGTTAGTATTTCTATCGTTGTTACTCACCTTACCCGGAAATGATTACTAAGGGTTAAAGCATTTCTTTTTGGGCTGTTGACTGGAGTTTCTTAGGTGGGATTGGGAGTTACAAGGCCCTGTCTAGAAGCCCCTTCCCAGTAGGCAAACAAAGCACAGCCTGCCTGGGAGAGAGTGGCTGCTTACAAACCTGGGAGGTCAGTAAAAATAAAATGGTTTGTGTTTTCTAAGACATTAAAAGCCATGTGCCTCTTCAAACCTACCCCACAGAACATTACACCTCAGCAAAGTGTTACTCACTTGACCCTATTATAATTGTCACACTAGGAAACATTTGCAAAGAGAAGTGATTAGCTTTCTACTCAATGCACAGAAAAGGTTGTGGAATGAGCTAAGGATTCCTTAAGGAAATATGCAAAGTTGGAGTGCAAGCCCTATCAACAGGATTTTCAGTCTCCTACCTCATCTCTTTGATTCTCTTCTTTCTATCCTTCCAAATCCTTTTTGTTCTTTCTCACATTTCAAGCCTGTTTGAGAGTTCCCATAGATTTCATCAACATCTCTTAATATCCTCAACTCTGTCCCATTGTTATTGGTCACATACACTTGGCAAATCCCAAGGCCTGCAGGATCCCAATGGTGTGCCAGCCTGTGCTTAGATAGGCTAATAACAGTGGTGGAGAGAACACATGACTGGCAGACTATCCGTTGTGGCACACTCCCCAGAAATTTCTTCTGCTCCTCTCTAGTGGCTATTTCAAACCTCTTACATTTTTCTCAAATCTCAAATTCTGCCAAGGGCTTTCACTCTTAGTAAATGCCCTAGCTCCCTACTTCTCAGAGAGAACATAAGCCAGGAAGCAATTATTTGCTCATCTTCCTGCCACCCATCCTGTGGATGCCCTGTCATGCAGTGACAGAGGAAGAGGTGACATTCTCCTGTCTAAGGTTTGCCTGTGCTCACGTTCCTTCCCCACCTGCAGCCTGAGGGACTCCATCCTTCTCTTTATTCCTCTCTTCCTGCGTTTGCAGTCATTCTACTGCTATGGAAACCTGCTAATCAGCATGCAAACATACTCAAATCCTACTAATCTTAGAAAAAGGACCCATGTACACCCCACATTTTTCTATGTATTGTCTTACATCACTGCCCTTGCACAATCAAATATCTCACAGTCACTATCTCCAAGTCTTTACCTTCAACTTCAGTTCATTGGTGTTTGGCTCTGATTCCCATCTACTGAGGTCACTGATTTCATTATTAAATTAGCCAGTGTCTCTGAGATGGGTGCAGCAATCTAGGGGGTCACACACCTGGCTGTTGACACCACCCCCCTCAACCCCACCTCCAATCTCAATGGCATTCCTTTTAATACCTAGACCTCTTACCAGCCTTTCCCTCTAAATCTACAAGATCAGGGGCAAACACTAGAAGAAGGGTGGAGTCTAAGAAGGATAAGCACACCCTACCTCGATGCCAGGATCTGTGAAGCTTTTATATCTGCCACAACATGCAGGAAATAGTAACTCATGAAAACTCTTCTCTGAAGCAGGAGGAAGGCAAAACATATGCTGTCCCAAATAATTCCTGCTTCACCACTGGGTAGTTTACATGAAGAATCATCACGAGCTGGGGCAAAAGAATAGAAAACATTAAAATTAACATCCATTTTCATTGTTCTATAAAATAGCATTTATTTTATAAAACCTGTGGTGTGATCAGGCTTGGGAATTCACACAGGTATGAAAGCAACAGTCTGATCCATCAAATCAATTATAAGTTGATTTAATTACAAGCAAGGCAATGCACTTCAAATCCAATATGAATGTTGATTCACAAGGCTGACCACAAAGTGAACACTTGACAACATAAGGCACAGGAGGGACTCTTTGTCAGGGAGGGATTGTTGAAGACAATCCAAGGTGCCTAGAGCAGGAGCACTTCATGTTATGGCCATAGATTCACAATGCAGCACAATCCTATAGCCTCCGTGTAGAGATTGAACTCTACATTTACCTCTTTTCTTTACTTGCTTTGGCCCAATTTTTAAATGAGAACAATACAGCTGTCCTTCCTTCTTTGTTCTTCTGTTCTCAAATTTGCTGTTCATACTTACGCATTTTATAGCCTTTGACTGTGCAGGCCAGGCTGAAAGCTTGTATTAACCAGCAACTATTTTCAACCAAGTTTTCGATGTAGCCACATGCTCCTATCTGAAAAACAAGCGGGAAAGGCAAATTCTGAAACTCTGAACCTAGAAAAAGCTTGATGTCTTCTGACCCCAACATGTGCAAGAATTCACAAAGTCTCAGTGCCAATGAATGCAGGAGGTGCTGATAGTACTTAAAATTACAGTCACAATGGGGTAGTACAATTGATGCCTCAGAAGTACCATCATTTCCTAGGGAAAATGAAGGCCAATAAGTAAAGGAATGTGAAGTTTCCTTTAGTGTGAGTTTTTCTGCACTTGGAACACTTCTCTTTTCAAAAAAGGAAATCTTGGATTATGGTATGAACAAGCTGAGTTCTGTTTTAGCAAGTAGGTGAACACTGAGCCCCAGGACTCTGATTTTGGTACTTATTTTCTCACAAGTCATCCATATTAAACCTGTGCTATTTGCCAGAAAATCATTGCAAACATAAGCTTCATGATATATAGTTGTTAGAATAGGAGCAGAATATGTGTTTTGAGATTTTTTTTGGCCAATTCTCTGGGTAAAGAAATCTTCTTTGTTGATTTGTATGTGGCTGTCTCATAACAATGATTTCTTGTCATAGTTAAGGTTAAGTTCACATCCTGAGGGGAAAAAGTTTAAACAAACATTAATCATTGCAAGCCAGCATTTAAAGGTGATGGCTGAATTCTGTATATTTCCTGGTAACATATGAGGTAGAATATAATTAGGATTTGCTCCCAAATCAGCAGGTACCCAGCAGGAGTACCCATCCAAACATGCTTTCTGTTCATATTTCAGTCCTATACAGCCATGCTTTTGCTTAGGTTCCCTAAATTAGGAATATCCTCCCCTCTTTGTTTCCCTGGGCACCTTCAATCTATCTCTCAGGTCTCTGATGGGTTCAAATGGCATCACCTCCAAATAAGCCTGTTCCCAACTTATGTAGGCAAGGTATAAGGTACTCTTTTTTGTTTTGTTTTGTTTTCCTGAAATATTGTGATAATTAGCATCAACAGATCATATTATAATTATAAGTAGGTTTATCTTCAGTTTTAGAATGTGAATTCTTTGAGGGTAAAACGTGAGTACTATTTATCTCTAGCTCTTCCAGATATAAAACAAAGAATAGTGCCTAGCAAAGAACAGTGCAATGTAAGTTTATAGAATGAATGAATGTATCTTTGTACCCATACACTTTGTATCCATATATTTTCCAGGAATGAATGTAGGGATCAGCTATCGGCAATGGATCCTTCACCATCAGAATGGCTTTAGAATGAATGGTGTTCTGTTGTCCTATCTTATATTCTCTCCTTTAACACTCACTACTATCCCAAATGTAAATAAATAATAGTGGGGGGAAATGGATAAGTAAAATGGATAGTCACTTTTACTATCAATTAGAAAATTAACACTTCAAAAGACTGTGAACAAACTAATTATTGAAATACATATTCATGGTTACACAGACTTAACTTTCCAAGACCTCTAAACACAGCAGTGGATGTACAAATAAATAAATAAACAAAAAATAAAAAATCCAATTCTTTCACAGTTGAGTTGTCTGCCTGGTGAGCTCATCTTTAAGTAGCTAGGAAGGGGAGACACAGGAAGTCATTACATCACTGTTCTTCTAATGCCCAGGTATAGCCTGGGAGTAGCAGGCAAAAGGATTAACTTTAAGTTAGGGCCAATAGAGACGTATTAACTTCTTCAGCTCGTGAAAGGTTGTTATTCAATATCCTGAAATGACAAATAACTGAACTGATGTCCATGTGGCTCGAAAGGTTTTATGTGACTCTGGGAATCTGAGGAGGAAGTTTGAGTTATCTACCAGGTCAGGGGAAAAGCTGTGTCCTGAAACAGGCAAACTTTTTAGAGGAAAGAGGTGGGTTTTCTGCAACCCTCAGTTGTCTTAGCTGGGCCCTGATCAGGATGCCTGTGCTCAGAGGCAACCAGGAACCTATGGTTTCCTCTGTGTCTACCCAAATTTCATGGGTACGTAAAACATTCATGCTCTCAATAGTCTATTCCCTCTCATTCCCCACCCTACACAGTGTTATAGAGAACTATGTTCGTTTTATTTAATACTTCCACAGCCTTTTCTAGATAAGAAATTTGTTTTAGCCAACATGATATGACTCTTGAAGAGATTCAAAGACAGATTCAACTCATAAAAGGGTCATTTTGTATTATAGTAAGAGGAATAACAAATTATTCCTCAGAAGAGATGGGATTTTTATTAATAAAATATGTTTTAAAATTTATTCCTACAAATACATATCCTCTTGTCATATGACCTTGAGATGATGGAAAAAGGATTCTGTTTAATATGGCAAAACAAAGAGTAATAAATGGTCATTTGAATTGTGAATTTGCAGCATCTTATTTGGAGCTTTTAAGAAAGCAGTATGATGGGCAATGGGCTTTTAATAACCACTGAATAGACTGTTTACTCTTACACTGAAACCACAAATGTGTTACACAGTGGGAGCCACTTACTGACAGTATGTTTTTCATCGTAATCACAAAAATGTTGTATGCAATCAGCCAGTCCCAATAGCGCAGGATACTCTTGATTGGTTTCAATAGCAAATCACCCCCAAAGAGCAGGAAGTAGAAGCAGGCTACCAAGTAACCCATGCAAAAGATGCTGATCCTGGTTGTCCCGGTGATGAAGATGATGGTGAGGACAAACCAGAAGAGGTAACTGAAGATGATCACTTTGGACATATCTAAGTATGATCTGGAAAACAAAACCGAACCATCAGAGGACAGCAAACACAAACAAACAAATTAAGTTGGGAGATTCTACTTTAATAAGAGAAAAAAAAAAGTCATACTATCCATTTGACTCTATAGGAAAGCACTTTGCCAGTCAGGCTGTGAGCTCTGTATTCATCTTTCATTTGAAACTGCCTGGTCTGCAGAAAATGCTCACCTAATTAGTGATAGATGACTAGGTAAGTTGTGAAAACACTGTGTGTGTATTTATCATCCTCGGATTTGGGCCACATTTCCTACAAACAGTAACATTTCCTGCCTACTAACTTGAGTACTAAAAGTCCTCTTTGTCTTTCTATAGGAGGCATGAATAATTGTATGGCAAAGAAAATCCTAGGATACAGATGCCTCCTGAAGCAAGAGGACAGTTAAGAATGGGTTTCTTTTGATAAACTAGAAATGAATAGATTTAAGCAATTCCATGTTATAGATTTAAGCAATTCCATGTTATATACAAAGTTTAATTAGAGATAAAAGGCTCTCCTTACAGCTGAGAAGTAATTCTGACAAAGCAGACATAACCACAATGGGGCTTGTTCAATACTCTATTCAATACTGTCTGTCTTTGCCTGTCCCTGGGTGGAGTCAAAGTCTCTTTTTAGGGAGCCATTCCTCCCCTGTGACCTTTCTGGTGGAAGGTAAGGCAGCATTTAGGTCTCAGTCATCTTGTGATAAATAGCAGTTGCTGGGAGTTTCCCTAGAGTAGTCAGCAACACCTGACAAAAGTTATCCCTACAAGCCACTTCACATCTGTATTTGCATAATTAGAACATCTGTGTTTTAGAGGTTTTGTTTTGTTTGTTTATCTTCCTAGGCTTGGGGAGAAGCACAGAAGAGCCAGATCTGGATCACTTCTTTGATTAACGATCATTACTTTGCAGGGATTAATAAGTACTCTCTTGATGAAATATGCATCACGCTTGACCTACCCAACATTATTAGAGAATGTATTGTGCCTTAAAAGTACATTGTCAGGTAAGTGAACTTTAGAATTTCACTCTTTTTAGAGTACAATACTCAACAGTTAAATGTTTTCATAATTTGTTTTTCTAAAATATATTACACACTTCTTTGACTTCATACCCAAAGGAGAGTGGATAAAATGTCCGTATTTCTCAGTATCCCAGGATCATCATAAGTAGAGTTAGTGACTAACTCAAGACATCATATCGGAATGCACACAAGGGCTTCTGCTGTGTGTGTGTAAAGGAGGCATAAAACATAACACCAATTTGTCAGACTCCTACACTGATGGTTGAGTTCAGTTTTAAAGGCTTCATAGGACAAGGGAGCTGACTAGGGAGGCAGATGTGAGTGCTCTCCATGGGGCGGGCCTAAGATGAAAAAACTATGAGGGCTTGGAAACCCAGAGAATGCAGAAGGAATATGCAGTGAGAAATTTAGTTTGGTTTAAACACAAACTCTGTGGAGGAGATGATCAGGCTGCCAAGATCAGCTGTCACCAGACTGAGAAAGGCAGAAAGTGTGCTACAAAGGGAACCCAATGCACAGCCACAGAGAAGACAGTGCTCAAGGAGAGTACCAGCACAGTGTAGCTGTGGTGACCAGTCGTCCTTGGTGCCCACTGAATAAAGGGGGTGAGGAGGAGGGATGGGATGAGGAAGAGGGACAGGAGATGAAGAAGATGGACAGAGGGTGAAGAGGAAAGATCTCTGCAAGAGAGGCAAGAGGCAGTATTATGAGCACATGTCAGTTTGTAAATGAATGAGAGGACACAAACTGATGCAAAATAATTCAGAGACTCAGCTTCTAGACTAGTGAGCCACCCTGTCCCATGTTTATTAGTTTCATGTGTACAATCACCTGTCAGTGTCCCAAGAATGGCAGAGAGAGAATTGGAAGTAGAGGTACATACTCTAAGTGAAAGGCATACAGGAAAATGGCTTTGAAACTAGTTACCTGCAGTGAATGAAATCTGGCACAGGGTTATGCTGGCTGAAGGAGGCCGCATCAAGATTCATGCAAATCTCGACATTGTCCCCCGCCATGATTCTCACTGCAGCCTTATTTTCATCCTCAAAAATCTGCCGTTGTAAGGAGGCACACAGAAGCAGCATGAAGTCATCTGGTAAGGCAGAGATAAGATAATTAAACCTGGGTTTACATAATGAAAAAAAACAGTCTCTATACAGCATGAGCTGCTCCTTAACTCATAAGTGGGTTGTGTTCCTGATTCATGGTACAAGTCTTCCTGGATTCTAATGTTGGGGCCAAGTTCCACCTTTCCCTTCATGTAAGAGGGACCACAGACATTCCAGGGGCTCACAGTAGGAGAGTCCCTGGAGTTTGTCTGCATGTTGGTGAGTGAAAATATCAGTTGCTAGTTACTAGTCTTCATGACTCTTTACTTGCACTTATCTCCCACTCAAGTTTCGAGGAGGCCATTTGAGCACTTTTCCCCATCTTTATCTTTTTACATGTAGTAGAAGCAGACATTTGTGTTTTCCTTTATCCTCTCCATTTCCCTTTGCATTTGTAATCAGGCTCTTTCCACAGCAGACACTGTAGTGAGGATTGGTGAGAGCAGGTGACAATTATGGGCTGATCTGCGAGAGTCGGGGAGAAGTCTGATGAGCTATCCTTGTCGCTGACGGGCCCAGAAAAGGCCCTCACACCAGTCAGGCTGGCAGCCTCCAGTCCAAGTTGTTTCATTGTTCTTCAAATGAAAATTGAATGTGTTTAGGCAGCACACTCTGGGTTTCCATAGCACCCAGCACTGCCTATTGTCTTAGGCGGGAGATGACAACCTTAATCCTTGGATCATCGGCCTGACCTTTGAAGGGCTTGGGACTGAAGCGCAGCTCAGGAGCACCAGCAACTTGGATAGCATCTTCGTAGCTATCACAGCCTTATCTTTAGATTTGGTCTGTCTGTGGTGGCAGTGAGAAACATCTGCTTCACAAAATATAAGGCCGCCCTCTTCAGCCTACCTTCTAGAAGGTGGGTGTGTGGGTTGTGTGTTGGGGGGTAGGGGTAGGTGGTGAAATTATTCAAGTGAATATGGTATTTCAATGTTTCTTTATTAATTTTGCAAATGTAATATGGCAAGTAGAAGCCATTAGTGACTTGTGATATTAATGTATTGAGACAAGCCTTTACATGATTATAAAGTTCAGTGGAAGAAGCAAAGGCACTAATGCATAACACATGAAGATGGATTAGCAAATATAAAACCAAATACCAATGCACTGTGGCCTCAAGCCTGCAACACTTACAGACGAGAAACACAGGGTTGGGCCGCACAATGAAGTCTGGGAAATACAGCCACTTTATGATGTTGTCATTGAAGTTGGAACCCTTGAATCTCCATGGGTAATCTGCAGGGAGGGAGGTGGAGAGGCCCAAAATCAATATGCTTCTTTGCTGCCCTTTGCCCACTGTGTACAATGTAGGGGTGGATTGTAAAAGCAGCTGGCTCCTGGGGAGGGCACTAACCTCTGCAGGGAGCAGGGGGGATGCCTATGCAGATGAAGTACTGGAATGTGATGATGCATGCCAGGAAGCAGCAGTACTTGGGCCAGATCTCTGCTATGGCTTTTCTTCTGCGTCGATATAAGACAGCAATCAGCCAGCAGGCGTGAATCATGGCATAGAAATCCATTCGCTGACCAATTACGTTAACTGACATTAGGAAACAGGTCTGTGTAAGGATAAAAAGAGGCGAAAAAATGGGTTTGCAGGGAAGGGGAGTGGTGTCAGCTGTCAGCCCTGTGTAGGCAGCAGAGACCTGCATTCCTGAGAGTAGGTCTCTCTGCACATGTTCACCAGGTCTTGCCTTTTTAGGTGTCTTTTAGCATGAAGACTGTACAAATCACTTCCTAGGGAAAACTGAATACATCACGATTAATAAGAACCACTTCAAACCATGAAGAAAACTATAGCTAAGATCTCTTCATGAGAAACACTGCTCCAAATACATTCTTAATAGGAACAGGCACTACCACAACCATTTCAGGTCAAAACAGTTCATTTTGGTTAAGGTTACGTTTTCAGAATGCACAAAACAATATTTTCAGAATGCACAAAAATAATAAGAAACCAGTTAAAACAATAAGTGATATCCATGCATCTGTAAGCCTACTGAGATCCAGAGAGCCTGAGTTCATTGTTGAGAGAAGGGGCCATCTTGAAAACTTTCAATGAAGCCAATCAAGCCTTCAACAGGCTCTCTTCCTGCTGATCCTGAGATCAGTACTAATGGCCTGCAGATGTGCAACGAAGCTCCAGTGGTCAACTGGCCAAAAGCAGCTACTGGGATTTTCACAGAAAAAAGAAAATGCATCAGCAAAGAAACTCACCTCCAGACCAAATTTGTAGAAGAAGTAATTTATGAAATATTTGGCACAGTTAATAAGTCCATCATCTAGATGGAGTCTTGTAATGTCATGAAAGATGGTTTTAGACACAGGGGCTGTGAGGTTGTTTCGACCTCGATAATATTCCTGATGGCGGTAAACTGTAACTTCAAAGGCCAGAATGGCCAGCATCAGGAGATTATTCTACAAAGCAAGAAAACACAGCTGTGTGAAGCCAAATGCTTTATGATCTTGGTTATTTTAAGCAATCCTTATAATAAATCATTTTATTCCATCCATTCTTGATATCTAAAAGGACAAGGTTTTATAAAATCTCACCTCTGTAAAATTATAGCCCTTCGATGTTCATTTTCCCTATTTTATGGTAGCAAGTGTAGAGTTATCTTCCCGATGCAAATCAGAGTAATTTCCATGATAATAAGGCCTAGAATCTCTCGACAAAAGCCTGGTGATGCTCATTTCTATAACTGAAAAAGTGCACACCCATACCTTGGGAGGGTGGTCCAAACTTATTGGCAACTAGAAGTGTAAACGTTTTTACAGCATTTTACACTGACATCCAGAAAAACAGACAAAGCTGGAATAGTGTGATAAGCATTAGAGGGGAAATTTTTGAACATTCCTGAAATCTGGCTAGAGAAAGCAGTAGATTGAGAAGCACACTGATGAAAGTAAAATAATAGTGATAATGATGATGATGATGACAAAAGTTAAAATTTATGGAACCATATGAGCCAGGTACTATACTAATCACCCTTATTAAATATCAGTTTGTTTTATTCCTATAACAGCTCTTTATGGTAGGTATATTGGGTTATTGGAAAAGTCGTGACGAATTTTTGCAACAAAAAACAGAAAAAACACGTCATGACTTTTCCGACAACCCAATATTTGTACATTACATGGTAGATATGGTTGATATCATTTGTACATTACAAATAACATTTGCCATATGAGAAAAAAAACCTAGAAAGCTATACAGTCAAAGAAAAATAGAATGCTTAGTACATTTTAAAATTCCAGGTGTTGAATATAAATGTTATTTTTAATGTCTTGTCAATATATTATTAAGACTACTTAGATTATTCATCAAAGTAAAATGTAAAAAATCTGAAGTATATTGCTTTCATTATGTTTCTTACAACTGCTTGCAAAGTTCCTTTTTCAAAGATATGTGCTTTATTTGATTACCTCTAAATGTAATATATGCCCTTTATTAAAAATTGTAGAGAAATGGAAGCTAGAGAGCAAAAAAATATTGTAATGCTACACCTACTTCTCAGAAATAATCACTGCTGAGCATTTGTTGGTTTTACTCAATATTTTCTCTTTGTGTCTAAAAGAGATTATACTATGTGCGGTATTTTGAAATTTGCTTTTAAAAAAAAAACTGAACAATACATTTTGGATATCTTTTAATGTCTGACATTATCAATCTCCCTCAATCTTTTAGTGGTTCTATAATGTTCCAATGAAGATATCTGTCATACTTTATTCAATTAATCACAAACTCCTTGATCAATTTCTTTTCAGCACAATGTGATACTGATTTTAATATTTAGTCATTTGTTTCTAAGGTGATTCTAAATGCCACATAAGATGAAGTTACTATGAAATGTGATATTAGGGGTCTCAATGGAAATGATTCTAGACAATAACTGCTCAGAGGCACCAACTCAGCACAATGAAGCCTTTACCCTCAGGTAGATGAGCAAAGGGGAAGACTTCCTCAGTCCGACCCACTCTGTGGGATCCACAGGAGCACTGTAGAGCAGAGACTTGTTCAACTGGTGAAGGGGTATATCCGTTTGGTTTTCATTTGGCTGAAAAGAAGAGAAAAGAGATAAGAAATGGCTACTCAGATTAGGAAAGTTCAGATTCTTCTTCTTCAGTTTTGAGCAAAAGAACATGGGGAAAAAGGGAGGGAAAGACCCATTTCAAAGGGGAACTCTCATCAGGAGAAGAGACTTGGGCCCAGCATACAGGGCCAGAATATATCCAACCCTATTGAGGTGACTTAAATTAGACCAGACAGAATGTGCCTGGAGATGTAGTTTCCCCAAATTCCACCTCACTACCTAAAGGCCAGTGAAGAAGATTCCCCCAACTTTGAGGCTCACCAAGGAACAGTTAACAGAAAAAGTCTCAGGCTTAATGGTTTGCAGCTGGTACAACATTTTGCAGACGATGATCACACACGTCCAGACAGTGCAGACACTTGAAGCCAGACGGCGTAGCTTGGCGTATGGCAGAGCAAAAGCCCAAGAAATCAAAAATACATAGTTGAACACAGACACCTGAAAACATAAAATCAGAAATGGAGACAAAAATACATAATATGACATAACATCTACAAAATGTAGCAATTTGACTGATTCAGTTCAGCTCAGTTCAGCAGAGGTTGATTGAGTTCCAAGAATATGCAAGGTATTGCCCTAGGTGCTAAGATACATGTCTTGTATTGCAGACAGATGTATAACCAGATGATATCAATATAACGTAGCAGTAATAAACTATAAACTAAACAGTCTCATGTGAGAATACCCAGAAGGGGTTCTCGGCCCAATCTGGGGCTTCAGGAAGCATTTCCTGGAAGAGATGATGCTGAGCTGAGCCTTGAAGGATGCATAAAGTTAGCCAGGCCAAGAAAGGTGAGAAGTACATTTGAGGTAAAGGATGTATGAGCAAAGGCAGGAGTGCATGAAGGAGCATGGTAGAAACAGGTGACCACAAACAACTGGAAGTTCTGGAGTTGAAAGCAGTGAACTGCAGTAGTAGTGAGGCTGGAGATGCGGAGCCACGTTTTGTGCGCCCCTTTTAAACCATGCTATGGCACATGAACCCCTTGTGCAGAAAATAGAGAGCCACTGAAGGGCTCTATACTGGGAAATATTAAGGAAAGATTAGCATTGAAGAATGGAGGTGCATCAATGGGGGTTAGACCAGAGGTCTAGCTCACATGTACTGTGATAGCCCAGGAGAACAATGACATGGGCCCAAACATGTGCAGTGGAGTAGAGATGGGGAGGACTCATGGATTTCAGATGGAAAGCAAATTAGCTGGATTTGATGATTAATTGGCTTATGGGTGGTGTGGGTAAGGGAGAAAATGTAAGAAATGCCCCCCAGGTTTCTGGCTTTGGAGCCATAGCCTTGAGAGCATGATAGTGCCACTACAGAGTTAGGATCTGAGTGAGGTGCAGGTGTAAAGAGGGAAGGCAATGACTTCAACTTGGTTTTAGACGTTCTGTATTTATTGATCAGTTGAGATATCCACTCATTTCTAACAGTTGTCCATAGCTAAGAGTTCACTGAATGGTATAGCAGCATTACCATCTTATTCAGTTTTGGAAAATACTCATTTATTCTGGGTATTGTTAAAATAATATCTGAATATTATTAAAATAATATCCTAGAAACATTTAATATAACCAGGTAAAAATACAGCATACATTCAACTGATAAAATTGAACATGTACCAAGTGCTAACTAAGCACTATGTGCTATGAGGTATGGTTCCTATATGGCTTACAAAACTAGACAAGAAGAAATGTGGAGATTCCAGGACAGTATTTAATTTGGCAGCTGGTAACCTAGTACTCTTTTTACTTGCCTATTAACTAGTTGCCATTGTCCAAAGCAAGGAACTTCTTAGAACTAAGTGCTGAAATATTAGGGTAGTAAGAGCTGCCTTAGAGAGTTAACTGAGGATGAAAGAACTATAGTACATAGAATTGCCCTGCAAAGTATAAAGTCACCAATATAATAAAAGTTACATTTTAACAAAATATTTTGACTAGCTAAGTAACTCCTCCTCCTCAGTCATCAACAGTGCCATGCTAATTGGGATGTTAAAAACAAACCCCATTAAGGATATTATGAAATTAAGTCCCTTTGTTATTTCTTTTATTATGTATTTAAGGTATTGAGTATAAAAACATTACAACAAATTTACAAAAAAAATTTAATTTTTGAGTGATAGAGAAGAAAATACAATATCTTTTATTAAGTCCTAACTAGATTCAAGATAGCATACCCTGTGTGAATCCCTGCCCTCAGGAAACATATGAGATCATGCAGGTGAGCATATGACAACATGACAGAGGGAGAACTCTGCTGGATTGAGCTGAATTGTGTGGGCACACACAGCCGATCATCTAACCCAGCATGAGGGAAGATTGCCCAGAGGACCTGAGGTCAAATAGGAGTTAGCCTGGCAGAGGAATTGCAGGTCCAAGGCCTTACAGGCAAAGGAGAGAATGTGGTGCATATCTTTGGAGCAACAAGTGGTTTACCACGAGACTAATGTGATCTGGGTCCATTTAGAGGACTTCGATATCCACCAAGTGGCTAGGGTGTCTAGAAAAGAAAATGGTGAAGTGGTCTAGGACCAGATCATGAGGGTTATATCATATTATTGTGAGGATGAGAGAGAGCTGTTGAAGGTTAATATGATTTATACTCTGAAGAGATTACTCTAGCTGCATAACTGAATACATATTAGAAGGAGGAAGGGTTACAGCAGAGTTGGGAATCTGTTAGAGTAATCTAAAAGAGAACTGACACAGGGGTCGCGAGTTTAGTTTTAGAGATATTCAGTTGAAGGTACTTTTGGTACAGGTAGAAGTATGGTCATGTTCAGTTGTCACTTGAGGATATGGGTCTGGAGTTCAAAGAAGGGGCTGGTTGAAGATATAGTTTTATGACTCATTGCATGTAGATGGCAACCAAACCACAGAAACTCATGAGATCTCCCAGAAAGAGTCTAGAACCAGAAAAGGGGCTACCAACAGAACCTGAGAAGGTGGTGGGAAGAGAAGGAGCCTGTGACTGAGATGGAAAAGAAGGGCCTAAGCTATGGGGAAGGGCCAGGAATGTGTGCTAATTTGGAAAGCAAGAGATGGGAGAGTTTCAAGGAAGAAGAGATGCAAAATCCAATGTTGTAGAGAATCAAGTAAAATAAGGAATGAGCAGCCTCTGTGAGGTGGGCTTTTAAATTTTTATCATTTTAGTAATAAGAAAACTGGGGCTCAGAGAAGTGCGGTATTTTGTTCAATGCATACATGGTTGACAATGGTCTCATCATCATCCTGGTAATTGAAATTTCATGGAATGTATATTAAAACAAAAACAAAAACAAAAATAGACAAATACCTGGGCCCCAACCAATACCTGATGAATCAGGATTTCTGGGGAAATGACTAATAATCCATATAGAACAAGTGTCTAGGTGATTCTTTTTTTTTTTTAATTTTATTGGGGAACAGGGTGTTTTTTCCAGGACCGATTAGCTCCAAGTTAAATTGTTGTTCTACAGTCTAGTTGGGGGGGGGGGGCACAGCCCACCATCCCATGCAGGAGTCCAACCAGCAAACTTGTTGTTAAGAGCACACGCTCTAACCTACTGAACCATCCGGCTGCCCTAGGTGATTCTTATTATCAAGGAATTTTGAAGAGTAATTTTATACCAGAATGTCTTCCTAAAAAAGCACTTTTACAGGCCGAGTGGCTCAGTTGGTTAAGAGCCCGCTGAAGACTTTGAGCTCTGAGCAACAGCGGTTCAATGCCCGGCCTGAGTGGAGCTGCCGCTAAGCTGCCAACAGGTAGCAGGATGGCTCAGCTTAAAAAAAAAAAAAGCACTTTTACATAAATTGTCATTTTATCTGAACATTAACTTGTGAGGCTTGAAGCCATTGCCTTGAGAGAGCAGCCTCTGAAAACTGTGGCTCCCTGGCCCTGTGCTTGCCTATCCCTGGCCTTCCTTTCTCAGAGAACCCACAGCTTCAGTGCATAACTCTGCACATGATCCCCCTTCCTGTACACCCAGAGCTTCCTGGGACACCTCTAATCCAGCAGTTAATATGACTTTTGGTTTTATTCACTAGCCATGACCATCAGACTGCGAGACAAGAAGTATGTCTTTCGTGCTTTTACACCAGCATCTAGCACAGTATAAACACTCAATCGATTGCAAGTATGTACGTAATAAAGGTTAAATGAATGCTTAGTGAGAGTGAAAGTAATAATAATAATGAGACATTAGATGACATCTATGAGGAATCTCAAGCTTGCAAATTTCTTTTATTTGCTTCCTTCCTTCATTCAGTGAATATTCATTGAGCTTCTACAATAGGCCAGGCCCTCTGGGAGTTGCTGAGGCTACTAAATGAAATAACATGTGGCCCCCTTCATCAAGGAATAACTTGATCTCACAGAGCTCTCTAGGAAGCTTTAGAAATTAGAAATGTGGTTGCGTATAAAAGAAGGAGAAGAGAATGTTATATATATATATATACACACACACACACACACACACACACACACACACACACACACTTACATACACATATATTTATGAGGTGTGATCACAAAATACAGTGAATGTTTAAATAAAAACTTATTACAGTAAAAGACAGATTGCCATTAATCCCCCTCAAAATACTCCCCCTCTCTTCAAATACACTTATCCTACCATTCTTGCCACTTTCTGAAGCAGTTCTGGAAGTCCTCTTTTGTGGGTGTCTTTAGTTGCACTGTTATGGCTTTCTCAATGTTCTGAATTGATTCAAAACGTTTATCTTTCATGGTTATTTTGACTTTGGGGAAGAGCCAGAAGTCACACGGTGCCAGATCTGGTGAATAAGGTGGATGAGGACAAACCGTAATGTTTTTATTTGACAGAAATTGCTGTACCAGAAGCGATGTGTGACATGGAGCGTTGTCATGATGGAGGATGAAGTAAAAAACTCACGAAAGAGAACTTCCAGAACTGCTTCAGAAAGTGGAAAGAACGATTGAATAAGTGTGTTTGAAGCAAAGGGGAGTGTTTAGAGGGGGATTAATGGCAATGTGTCTTTTACTGTAATAAAAATTTTATTTAAATATTCACCACATTTTTTTATCACACCATATATATATATATATATATATATATATATTATAAGATACATTCTATTGATAATGTTTCTCTGGAGAACCATGGCTAATACAGAGGGTTTGTTCATCTTTATAGCCTTCCCAAGAATATACTCTTTTCTCTTTTCCCCAATATTTGCATTTGAGTCTTTAGTGTACAGGCCCAAAATGGCACACAGTCTGACAGGCCCCTATACTCTTAAAGCCTTTAGCATTCTTTGTCCTACCTGTCTCCTTTCTCCTTTGAAAGTTCAGACATGATTGGTAAGTAAGCCAGTTCTGTTCCCAGCCCTCTCCTTCTTTTCTTCCTTCAGCTTCCCTTCCTTTAAAATGTCCCCACTCTGACACCATCTGGGACTCTGTATCTTTCTTTTCTCATCATCATCATCATCAGATGCATTCTCTCAAGGTCAAGAGTTCATTTGTAAATAATTTAAAATACACTACTGATGCCTGATAATAATANCAAATTCTTTTGCAGGGGCCTCTTCTCTCTCAGATGCTCATGATGATAACCTTGGAAAGGTTTAATACTCGTAGGAGAATGACTGAAAGTTTGTGAAAACAAGCACCCTGGCTGATGATCTAGGATGAGGATAGTTTGAATCCAAAGCATTGTAGCCACATCTCTTGAAGTTTTAACTGAGGATGCTAATTTTGTTCTCATTTTGCCATATATTGATCAGCAATTTTTGAGAACGTTTATATTTTGTATTACTCAAAATAATAAGCTACGAACACAAATATATATATATATAATATATATATATATATATATATATATATATATATATATATATATATATATATACACACACACACACACACACACACATAGCAAGTGTCATTGCTGATAGAATGTGTCAAGCTTTCAAAGCAGAAGAGGCTCCTGCAGGTATAAATCAGTACTCAGAGGTACACAACATCTGGGATGCTATTCACAGGTGAACATGACCCTGGAATTGTGCAACAAGCACCCTGATGTGAATGGCTAGACATTCTCCCTTCTTATAACCAGGTAAAATTCAGACATATCACATGCTGGCTTGGCACATGACTCCCTACAAGCACCACATACCAGAGTCAATATTTGTCTTTCTTCCCAATTGCACTTGGTATAGAAAGGTGTTAAAACAGTGTCATGAGGCACCAAAGTAGAATATATGGAGATATGACATTCCAAAATGAGGTGTTAGTCAACATGTAGAAATTTTGAAACAGTTGATGGAAATCATTTAGGGGTTTTTAAAGTCTTCCAGGAGGAAATAAATCGATCAAGATAGTGAAGATGACAGGGGGGAGTGTGAATAAATGTTTTTGTTGGTGGTGCTTCTGTCTGTTCCCCACCCCTAGGATGATGGGGTGGGAGAAAGGGTTGCTGCATTCTTTCCCCAAATTCCCGAGTATGGAAGCCTCAGGCAGGACCACTCACAGATCTTAGTGTGTGTACATCAGGGTTTGGGCACTGATGTGCAACTTCTTCCCAGGAAATCCAGCTGGCATGATGGCAGAGCCCAGGAGCCCACTTTACTGGGATCCACGGGCCTGAGCAGAGCAGAGGCTTTGTGTGTGTTGCCTTTGGACCTGATGCGGGAAGGAGAAAGCAACTGGAGCTGTTCTGAGTATTGCTCAAGGGGATTGCTGCAAGGGAGACAGGTCTCCAAAAGAAAGAGTTCAGGGGGAGAGGATGTTGGGAAACCAGGGGCTGGGTGACAGGCCACAGCCCTGGAGGAGTTGCAATTGGAGGCCCCTCACAGGAGCCTCCATGAGAGAAAGGGTAGGTTTAATTGATCCAGCTCAGAGTTTGAGGACATCCTATGATAGTACAAGACAAATCAGAATACCCTTCATCCTCACTGCCCCCTGTCTATGGTCCAACCTGGGAGATTTATGACAGAAGTTAGTTCATTGGGGTGGAGGCAGTGAAGGAAAGTCTGTGTGAGAAAGAAAAATGCAGCTAGGAAGAGAAGACACTTCTTCCTGGGTAAGAGATAAGAGTTTGATTGTTCTCTGTGGCTGAACAATTTTAATTAATAAAGTGAGATTTTGCTTCTCTTTAAGATATTGGGTTGTTGGAAAAGTCATGACATATTTTTTCTAGGTTTTTTGTTGCAAAAATGCATCATGACTTTTCCGACAACCCAATAAATATAAGACTTTCCATTACCAGGAATGATCAGACAGTGTTTTGTGTTCAGGCGTGAAGAAAAGTTTTCCTGTAGACTACATTTTAAAGGGATAGTGGAGGTCCAAAATAAAGTTGTTTTTATGATTATATCCCCACATATTCTAATCGCTCAACGCTTCAATGACATTAACAAGAATCAACTATGAACATGCTGACTGAAGCCCACAGACCAGAATCAATGCAGAGGGGGGAGAGGCCACATTGGCAATGACACCCAAGGATCACACAGTAACTGAACCTTCATGTGAAACTCTGGTACACTTGGGGGTTAAATTATTTTACACCAATGGGATTATGGCAGATGCTAGACTCAGTAGGAGAATTTCTCTGGTTCATGAATCTCTGATGTGTTTTGAAGTTATAGGTGAGAGAGATAGAATTAGGAATGAAACTTCTGGAAGTCCATACAATGGGTGAATCATAGAGAATGAATTGGTCATATTCCACCAGGCTGTTTTTCTAATGGGGTAACAGGGTGGGTAGATCATGATCTTTAATTTACTTGATAGTCTGTTAACAAGACATTGTTTAGACTCATTAGGGATGATTTTAAAAATATGTGCCTGTCTTTTGTTAAGGATTTGTAAGAAAGTGGTATCATTTTACCTTCTGTCTTTCTGAACTCTCTAGAATGGATTTCAGATAGTGGTTTTTCTCTGTTCTACTCACACTAATTTCTCTCTCATTTGACACCCCCTCCTATCATTAAGTTGTCTTAATATGCCTCCATAGCTCTGCAACAAAACTTCTCATGCCATCACAAGTAATCTATATATCAAATTTGGTTAATTCAGAAATGGTCTTTGCTCATTTTTAGTCAAATGCCTTCTCTTTTCCTTTTTTCATTGTTCTTTAATATTCTGACCCCCAAATTGAGTCTGAATTAGTCAATTTACCTACACAGGTAAAATGCTGAAACTCTTTTGTTCTCAGTTAATATACATATTAAGCTAGATTGTAGTTCTAATTAATGTATAGACTTGGTTACTTAACAGCGGAACATATGTCATTTTCTGCCACAAATCTCACAGGAAAAGTGGTTTCTGTTCTTGTTCCCACCTGGCAATGATTACTTATCTATTTCAGACTGTTTGTATAAAATGGGGAAATGTTCTAGCTTAGACTAGGGAGCTAAATTAAAGTTGGACCCTTAGTTACCTATTTGTGAAACATTTTAGGTTTATAGTATCGTAGCTATATTATATTATGTAATTTTTTAAAAATATATAATTTTTAGAGAGCAAAGACTCTGAATTGTCACCAACTCAAAAACAGTTCAGGGAAATTACAAGTATGTGAAAACCATTGGTTGAATAAATTAAAAGAAAGCTAATCTCTCCATAGTAAATATCAAATAATTGTTGGCTGAATGATGACTCTCCTCTTTACAGATGAGAAAACAGAGTGTAATTACAATGTTGAAAGAATATGTATTGTGTCTCAAAAAATCCAATAACAAATAAGATGAGCTCTACTAAAGATTTTATTAAATTTTGGAATCTGAGTTTATTCTTTGGTAACATAAACTGGAACATTATTGTTTTTCTCAAAGAGAATTTAGAGAGATGGATTCTCATGTGTAGCACAGAAAAGCAGCCTGCTCTCACACACTTAAGCTAAAGACTAGATGAAAATAAGTAACCTCTGTTATATGACCAAGACAATTAAAAACTAAGCCGAAACCTCTTTCTCCCCTGTTATCTTTCTATAAATATAAATATATGAGTATGTGCCTATCTTAGAGCCTTGATGTTCCAATGTAATGGAAATTACATTTCAAAAAAAAAATCATGAACAGTTGGAAAAGAAAAATTATGACCCATTGTGGTTCTGTTTGGCCTGATGATACAACAAAGGTTTACTTGCCTCTTTCACTGAAACCCAGATAATGTATGATGAAACAATTTTGATGATGTGCAACTCCAAAATCCACCACATGAACACCTGTAGTTTGTGAAAATACTCCAGGAATTTTAAGAAGAGCACAGTGAGGCGGTCAATCACCAGATGCCATTTGTTCCTTAAATCTGCAAAACAGTAATTTACCCAAGAGCATAAATAAGTGGGATTTTGCTTTTTTTTGTTTGTTTTTCATTATTACTTACTTGAAGCATATCTTATAATTTTCAGATTGGAATAAGAACATGCAAAATTATAGTAGTGAGTGAATTCTAAAACTACCAAAATCTGGTGTAAGGGTGGTCCAAGAATCCCATGGTTTGATGATGACTTAGACATCATATACTGAGATACTAAGGGACTCAGTTACTTTTACCCACCTTTTAACTAAATTAGTGTAAAGAAGAATTTTGACCTTATTTACTCTTAAAGCTGAGCTATAATTTTTAATTCCCTAATTTGGGCGGAATATTAAGTAATGTGAGCTCCATCTCAATGACATTTTTCTTGCCCAAACAGTGCTTTTATAAGTGCCAGTCTCCTTCCAGGGGCTTAACTAGGGAGTGGATAAAGCTCGTGGGTCGCCTGGAAGAGTGAGCCAGGCAGCTCCACCCACAACTGTAAATGAACACTGAGGATCACAGTGACCCAGTCTTGGTTCACAACATGTGGTCAAGACTCATTCTAACCATAATTTTTAATCAAATTAGTCATTTTCTTCTTTCTATCATGTGCTAGGGAGTAATATTTGAAGACTGGGGTGATGCTTCTGTAAGAAAGACTGTCCTGGTTAAACTGAATGACAGTCAAAACAGGACTGTTTTGTGGAATCAACAGGTCACCACACATACAGACAAAAGCTCGCAAGCCCAGGGAGGTGATAAGAGCTCAGTGTCTCTTAAAGTAACTTTTTTGCATGCCTTAGTTGGTTGAAACACATACTATACTTGGTCTGAAAGGTTAAGTAAAGTTTCAGTTATTGTGAAAAATGCTTATTTACAGATGATAGACAATACAAAGATTTAGGTCATAATTGGGCACAATTTGAGCAGGAGATGGCAGGTACCTGAAAGAGTGAAAGAACAAGGTGCAGTGCACCTTTTGGTGAAACCCTATCAGTAAAGCTCAAACCTGTGTTAAAGTAGTACAACAAAATCCTTGTCCTGATTCCTTAGTCCCACAAAGCTTGGTTCTCTCTTCATACTGAGGAACACACGTTGCTCAGATATGAAAGAACATTCCTGGGCCTCTCCTAGGGTCTTCTGAGATGAGTGGGTGAAAGGGATCAGGTTTTGGGGGAGCTTCCCTTTGAAAGGGGTCTTCCACCTCATGCTTTTCTATTGTCTACCTTTATGAAGCACAGAGCACAGCAAAGACAAGTGCAGAGTCTTAATGTCTGGAAATTACTGAACAAACTGAACCCTCCACCTTGTGTGCGCTCTGCCAGAGAGCATGTCCTGATTGTCAAGGCCACCCAATTCTCAGCATGCCCTATTAAAACATTATTTCAAGTCTATCAAGAAAAATAGGAAAGAAGAGCCTAAAGAATAAGAAGAAAAAACCTAAAATAACAGTGACAATGAAAACCTCTCCAGGGATTGGCTTGGAATGATAATTTTCCAATTGCTTACTTCTCCTCTGGTTCTGATGTCCTAAAATATTAGGACATAATTAGAAATATATTCTTTTTTTTTTTTTAAGTGAGCCATCCTGCCACCTGTTGGCAGCTCAGCGGCAACTCAGCTCAGGCTGGGCATCGAACCACTGTTGCTCAGAGCTCACACTCTTGCGTGAGTTCTTAACCAACTGAGTCACTCGGCCGGCCCCTTAGAAATATATTCTTAATGATGAGTTTCCTGGAAAAGCCTTAAAATAATTTTTTTGAGGATGCGTTTGAAAAAGCCATGTCTAGAATTTTCAGAAATTCTACACATCTGCCTGATTCTGCTTCTGGTAGGAAATGTCTTTATTTGAGATTTCTGTCTGAGTAAAGCTTAAGAGCTACAGCCCTCCAGTCTCTTGCCAGGATCATCACAGTGGATCAATAGCTGATAGTCATCCATCTGCTCTCTTCTTCTAAGTGAAACTTACAATGAAATTATTGGAGCAATTGGAACAGGAATGTTATAACTATAACAACCAAAAAATAAATAAATAAAATAATAAATAAATAACCACACACCCCAAGTTTTATTTCACTGAATGGGCCAAATATATATCTGTTTGGAGCAAGTCATTGTTTCATTCACTCAGTCTGTCAGCCACCATTTTCTGAGCAGCCACTAGTAGTGGGAAGATTACCTGACGTCTCTTCCTCCTCCTCTTCATCTTCATCCTCCTCATCGTTCTCGTTGTCTTTCCCAAGCTCACTCTTCTCAGCTTTTGCAGAGCATCCCTCTGGTTTCTCCTCACCAAGCTCAGTCAACTGCTTCACCTCCGGCTTCTCCGGGCTAGCGGTCAGGTTCATCATGGCGAGGTCTGGAAGGCTTCCTTCAGGGTGGGCCAGTCTGTTGACAGAAAGCAGCTGAGTCAGAAACGGAAAGGGTGCCAGAAGAGATTTGCATGAAGGGCAAGTAAAAGGAGGATGAACACAAATGAGTATCAGTGCATGTGCACAGGCCTTGCCATGTGGGGTTGTTAGTGTCTTGTCACTTTTTTTTAAAGCTCTTTCTAAAAACAAACTATAAACTCAGGTTTTGTTAGCTCTTCCAATTCAGGTTCTAGTGCTTAGTCAGTAATGAGAACTATCAACACCTAAACTTGACATTTTTCCCGGAGGAGAAAATGGTCAGAGTTTAGGATGTAGAAGCATGAAATGGCATCATGTAGAGCAAGCATTTCATGGCTTCACAGGGGGACTTACTCATTTTGGTGGATTGGTAATTTTTTCTTGATGCTGCTCAAAGTAATTGAAGTAGAAAGGAAAAAAAGGAGATGAGAACAGAAGAATTATAAGGAATGTCAGAGATCACACATCATGCTACATATCATCCACTATCGTATTCTTGTATGCCGGTTGCAGTACGTCCTAACGCAAATGCATTCCAGGATGGCATCAGTAGCGTGCTTTTGTTAGGAGCCCTATGCTTGGCAACTGATTTGAGTGTAGTGGACAGGACTGCAGGTTGTAAAGGAGAGAACATATAGACTACTGGGGCAAATTGTGCCATGCTTTTTTAGTAATGCAGCAAACCATCCCATAAGAATCAAGTCATTCACATTTTAAATAGGTTTTTTAAAAAAAATTTTAACTAATGTGTGCTTTAAGTCAACCTCTGATAGACTCAACCCGCTCTGCCATAATTGGAAGCATTTGCAGTAGATGCTAAATGCTTTCTGAAGGAGGACATCTGCCTTACGTCCCTGTTCACAGGCATGGACATAACCTGCTGTACCAGCCATCATGAGAAGATGGCATGTGAGTGCCAGAGGGAGAATGAGGGGGGTAGAGCTTCACTAAGTTGGGACAGCAACCAGGGCATTATAGTTTATTTCACAGTGGACAATACCAAGTATGATCTTTCTCCTGAATTAAAAAAGTTCTTATTCATATTCAAATGAATGTTCAAAGGACCATGTGTGGGTAATAAGGTAGATATTAAGAAAAGGTGTATTGGAAATCCTGGTAGTCTTCTCCATTTGTCATAATTAACCTATACATATCAGCCTTGTTGTAGCAAGATGGGCAGTTAATAGTGTTATTCTATCTGTATTATTGTGGGCTCTGAGTAAATTATTTAATCTTTCTGGAATTTAAGTTATTTTCTATAAAATGAGGAAGCTTGGCTAGATAAAAATCAAAGCTTACTTTCAACTCATTGGTTTTATATTTGAGATATATCTATGATGTTGCATAAGTGTTGTAATGCATACCCACTGTCCTTAGACTTTTAGGAGGTTATTATTGAAAAGCAATTCCTTTTAAGAGGGTATCAAGCAGGTAATTAGAGACTACCAGAAACAAATTGTTAGTCAAATGAAGAAAGAATGTTCTGAGGATGTTTCAGCATTGGTGGGTGGAATTATGCTGACATCCTTATTTTCTCAAGCTAGTCAATTGACCCTCTCGTCTTTGGGACAGTTTCCCACTCTTGAAACTACAATACCATCCATATTGCACACACCAGCACTGCACATCACATCTGCACTGCACTGCACATCACATCTGCACAGCACTGCACATCACATCACATACATATTTGCTGTTCCTGCTTTGTCAGGACTCTATGGATTAAATGGGATTAAATGTAAAAGCAGTCAGGTGTTACACAACTGTCAATATTTATATGTTCTCTTCAGCATTGTATTTTATAAGTGAGAAGATACTTTTCAGTATGACAAGAATTTGGTAGCTTTTGTTGTGGAAGTATAACCTTCTCAGACTGCATTTCTAATGTCTACATCAACACTGCCATGACTTGATACTGAAAAACAACTCTCCAATAATTAGTGCAACTTATGGAATAAAACACAGAGATAAAGCTGTTTCTGCACTCTCCACTGTGGCTACATAACAAACATCCTCAAAAGACCCCAAAGTGCCCTGCCACACAGAGTACATTGAGGAAGATTACTGAATGGAGAAATCAAAGAAAAACACTAAAGTAAACCTTCTGGAAGTTTGTCCAGAAGATTTACTTCTGGAAACTTGTAGTAATAGTCTACTAGAGATTTAGACCTAGATAATGCTGGGGAGAAAGAGAAGTGAATTTCTGTGCCTAATGCTGCTCATTTTCCTCTGACATATCCTTATGAAGAAAGGGGGCATGTCACATACTAGGTGCCCTTTGGAGAAGTCTGGCCTCACGAGCTTGAAATAAATGGCAAAAAGGAAACAAAAAAGGACAAACATCTATCAGGCTACCATTTACTAGTCTAGGAGTTTGAGAAAATTCACTGAGAAAATCTGCATGCATAAAATGTGTACAGATAAAAATATTTTCAACGCATGATTGGAGTTTACTATTTTAAAAAGACACCTGGGTGAATCATTTCATTTTTCTTTTACTTTTATCATAGCAGTTTTTTGGAGGCAACACAGAATATTGTTAAAAGCATACTCATTGGAGTCAGAAAGACCTAGATGCAAGCCTCAACTAGACAACTTACTACCTAGGTAACTTGGCAAAACCCCTTATCCAGTTTTCTAAGTATCAGTTTGTTGATCTGTTAAATGGTATGTCAGTGCCTACTTCATAGGCTGTTGTGAAAATATAGGCGATTTCTGTTAAGTGTTTAGTACACAAGAATATTTTTAAAGTAAGGGACCATCCATTAATGATAGATTTTCATATACTGTTTTGATATGTGTCATAAAGTATGCTAATTAAGAGGCAGAATTAGAAGCATGTCTCTGCAAAGGACCACACAACCCCAGACACTGGGAAAGGTGCTAAACTTGGACTGCAATTCTGTCATCAGGACATTTTTTTTTAACAGACGTGTGTATTAAAATGGTCATTCACAAGGAAAAGGGCAAACATTTCTTCCTTGGGAAACTGTCTCTAATATTCTCAACGTTCTAAGTACTCTGCTGTCTGCCTCCCACCACCCACCACCCACCACTGCTTTCCTTGAGAGAGGTGGGCTGCTGCAGAGCTGAGGTCTGTCTGTGTGGGGCAGAGCTCACAGGCAGAACTAGTCCCCAGTTTGCTGTAACCAACAGCTGTGTCAATTCTCCAGCAAAACACGTCTACCTTAATTTAGCCTTTTGCCCCGAGCAAATTTTAAAAAGGGATCCCGATTTTTCAAAAGCTAAATTGAAAATCACACTCTAGTAATAACATTCCCTGAAACTTGCAGCTAAAGGAACTTACAATACTGGTAATATTTTACTGATCATCATGTGAGAATTGTCTAATTATCATAAGAAGAATTTTTACTTTGGACCTCCAAATAGACAGGGTGTGAATTGGGTTATCAGAGAAGCCTCCTCTCCCACTTCCTTAAACCCCACTGTTTTTCATGCCTTTTCCCACAGAGAGTTCATTTTCTTCTCTGCATTTTCTTTAACCATGCCTATAACTTTGTTGCTTTGTTTTTATTATGATACAGGCTCTGAGCTTTAATCTCACTGACTATTTCTTAAATAAAATAAAATCCTCTCACTGACTACTTCTCCTTTGGCATTCTAACATAACAGATGATATTTATCTGTTTAGTCACCCACTCTTTCCTTCTTGTTTCCACAGCTTTGTACAGTCCTCCCTGTGTGCATTTCTCTGTTTATAACTACATCATTTTATTCTAATTACGATTCTGAGGACTCTCCCTTTGAGGGCAGAAATCCAGTCTTACTGTACTCATCTCCCTTACAAAATGTAGCATGGTATTTGGTATACACTATGATTCATTGAATGTTTGGTGAATAAATTCTATAAACTGGTGAGGCATTCTAAGTTGAAACACAAGAAACCAATTATGTTACATGGAGAATTGAAAAGCTTTAATTCTGTACTAGGAATTGATGTTGAAAAGCCACCTATGAGGCTATTGGGTTGTCAGAAAAGTCATGACGTGTATTTTTTCTGTTTTTCGTGGCAAAAATGCATCATGACTTTTCCAACAACACAATAGTTTCCATTAAAGAAAATGTCAACTCTACCTTTATAAAATCTGCTTCATCTAGATTACATTTATTTTTCTGTTCTAATTTGAAATATGTGGTGATATAGACTGCACTCGCCCCATTCATTAGACTACTAGAAAAAAAAAGGTGTCTTGCAAATTCGTAGTGTTTAATATAAGTAATATTTAAAGTAGAATATTTCCACTGCTTCAGATTATTTTCTAGAACTTATAAGCATGTTTTAGAAGACTGAATTCACAGATGAACAATTGATTTGTAAATTTAATAGCACATCTTAAAAGTATGTGTTAGTAATTCCACCCAAATAATCCAGGCAGGATTGGGTGCAATGGCTTCCATTCCTGTTCATGTGAGAGAAGAACCATGAATCCTGCTAAACTATTCCAATGCATACTGTTTAATAATTCAGTTTAATCTTCCTCACAATTATTCACATTGTCAACATTTTATCAGTCATCCACTGTCTTCAACACATTGCCCTACCTCACATTTTATAAGGTAATGTCTAAATTTGAAACAACCCAGAAGGTAAATGTAGCTAACCCTGTTTCATTCAGGACTCATATTTATAAGCATATTATTTTTCTTGTAAAACAAAAACAATAGTGAGCATCAAGAAATTAATTATGAGAAAAAGAAAGCTTCTTTACTTAATAAAAGTATTCACCCTATCATTCTAATTAAATGTATGTCTTATTCAAAATTGAACACACTTACATACTGCCTTTCAGAAGCACATGTTCCTAATTGAGAGATGGGTTTATTTGGTAACATTTTCTCTGAGGCGTAGCTCTTTCTTAACATGTTAACATTTAAACAAAAATGAGCGATTCCACTATTAAGAGGATAGTGCCAATGCTGGAATGCTTCAAGTTTTTAATTATTGTGGATGACTCTGAATCTTGATCATTCTAGAACTCATGAGTGAATTCACTGGCCTTGTGACTTGGGGTAACAGACATAAGCTTTTTCCCAAGAGGTAAGTCTGGGACAATCGGTACCAAAACATGTATCATGCTCTGCCTATGGAGTCCATCAAAATAATTTCTTTGGTGTCCCAGCCATCTCCTCATAAAGCAAACGGTAAATATTTTATGAGAAGCACAGAGAAAGAAAGAGAGAATAGTCTCTCATGTTTGGAGAGATGAGATTTAAATAGTTGCTCAAGATTTCTAGCTAGAGACTATATTTTATTTCTGTACTATCAGCTAAAAACCTGAGCTTGATTTGCTTTCTCAGGCTGTCAAAAATCTGGCCCCCAAAAGGAACCAGCCAGTCCTCATTCCTCCTTCTTCAGCAATCTGCACAATGGTACATTAATTTTTCACACTTCCTTTTAGAAGTTCTGCCTCCTAGGGTTTGCTATTTGATTGTTAGCCTTGGGATTTTACCTAAGAGAGAAGTAAGTAGAAAACCAATGAATCTCTCCAAGAGTTATTTTGTTAATTGCAAAATACATGTTTCTATTACCTAAATTACTGACATTATTACTAATGACATGGGAGTGGATATTTTAATTCATCTAGTTAATAAAGTCAGAATAGTTTTAGTAAATCAGGTCCCAAAGGATCCTTTCTCTGTACTCTTGGAGCACTTGGGGACAAAGCTATACACAACACTATCAAAGCTTATTCTGCATTATGTGTGGTCATTTGCATGTTTTATCTCCCCAGCGAGGTGACATGAATCTAAGATTGGGCCATGTCTCAGTGTCCATCTTTGCGCCTTTTGTGTTACACAAATATATTGTGAAATCTGGTGATGTAAAATATCATTCTTCAATATGTTGATCTTTTAAGTGGAGATATGTTTGAATAAATTGATGTTTTAATTTTCTTTCACCATATACTGTGACTATTTTCATTTCATTTAGGAAATAATTGCTGAGGGTCAACTAATGAGTAAGGCCCCAAAGTAGGTGATATGTGGACACCTGGGTGATTTATACAGGGTCTCCAGGCCTGAGGAGCTGACACCTCTGGCCAGGGAGATAAGACAACCAGGCAGATAGAAGACTGCATGGCCAGTGTTATGAGGCAGCGATGACAAAGGGCTGTGGGGATTCAGAGGAAGGGCAGTTACTTTTAGCAGGAAAGTTGGCACTTATGGGCAGGTTTGCGGAGGAGGTGGTTCTTGAGCTGAGCTCTCAGTTATGTGTTCAAGAGGGAGATGAGCTTTCAGGCAAGCCTTGAACTAATTCTACCAAAGAATGAAATTAATGGGGTATGTTTTAACCAAGACCAAAGGCCAAGTGAGCACCAGCTGAAGACCCTTGGCAACCTCCGAATCCACTTGGTGGCACCATTCAGTGTAAACACGAAATGGGTTGGTTTGCAAAATGCATCCATGAGCATACCTGAAAACCATTGTCCACTACCTGATGACATAATTTTTCATTTACAAAACAGTAAAATGTTTAACACACCAGGAGACCATTTTTAACAAAAAACAGGAGAGAAAATATTGAAGTACCCACCTATTTATTATTAGATATACACGCCCATTGACTTTGGCATGGCTACAAGGTGAGAGACAGAAGAACAAGGTTGCGTGCGGAGGCAATGGGGAGACAGGTTGGAGAGAGAAAAAGGAGATTGTTAGACAGAGACGAATGAAGTAGATTGTGTCTTGTAAGCTTTATATCATCAGGTGTGTCATCATCGACACATGTTTCATGCACTGAAGAATAGTCTAGGTAGCAAGATTCAGTAGCAACATGAAATTAGACATACTCAGGAAAAATTCTTGAAGATAAAAAGTCTCTCTATTCTTCTCACCCCTTCCCATCTAACACACTTTATTAAAATTTTGTAATGTTTAAATTTCAGAGTACATTTATCAAATAAAATAATCTGAAAGATTTATTCTTGCTCCTTTTCCAGAGTTAAAAAAATAGAATCCTACTAAGTAACCACATTCAACAGATTGTTCTCTATGGTTTTCTAAAACTGAAACTTAAAAGAAGTCATTTTATTTCTATATGCATCACAATAATTTTTAAATCAAATTATGGACAAATTACAGTGATGGATATTTAAATAAGTAATGGATATTTAGTACATTCTTATTAAGTATATATTATATCAGAATCATAATTATAATATTATATATTATATCAATATATAAGTGAAATGATATTCCTGAGAACATCAACTAAGAAATAATAATTTCTTCTTATGTATATCATAATTTTTTCATAATGCTAACTTATTACAAATTCTGTAAGACTAAACACAATAAATTCTGCTTCAGACACAAGTGACATTTCCCTACACTACATATGTGTACAATGCACATATGTGTACATGTGCACATATGTCCAATGAACAGTTGGATATTTACAGAAACAATAGTGCTAGCATCAACATAAGGAATACAATGAATTGATTATTCTCATTTTGTGGGCTCTCTTTTCTAAAGCATCTACGAAGGTGGTGGGAGACAGAAAGCAAAGCATAACAGTTAATCCCAACTCTGAGAATATTTTTTTTTCTTCATCATTTCGACTTTAATGTAGTCAATGATCAGGACTCCAGAGACAAAAAGTACTGTGAAGTGAACATTTTTAGTAAGAAAACTACTACAATGGGAAAGAAATGCTAAAAAGATGGGATATATGTCATATGTTCAAAGTTAAAATTTTGGAACTTTTATATTAAACCCTTGCATGAAATCCCAAAATACCAAACTGGAGTGAGTCCTCCAAATTCCTTAAGGTTCCAGAGGATTTTTTTTTTCTAGAACTAAAAATGAAATCTCATGTACCTAAACTACCTAAACTCTTCAGATAGCTGACATTATATACACTCTCCTCATCCTTTAAATTTTAGTGGAAAATTAACAGTTAAGGGAGTACTCAGGGATATGGCATGGTCATAAGGAAAGCAAGCAGTGACCTCAAACTGCTACAGATCATTTAGATCTTTCTTTTTCTGCTATGGTGTAGAGTGTAAGGGCTGTGAATGTAGCCACTGAGGAAACAAGTAAAATACATCTTGACATGAGGCTGTAGTCCTTTCCCAGAACCTACATAATTAAATAATGCTCTATATAAGTTTTCACATAATGCCCACCTCAAAAACTGATTCTTTAGGCTGGTAAAATCTTTGATGAGCTGTATTATTTCTAATAAAACTATAGTTCTGAAAATCTCTATTTTCAGAATAGAGAAATTGTGACCTACATTTCTATTTGAGTGTGTGAAGGAAGATTCAAACACATAATAATAAAAATAATGTCAAAAAAAATTTCCTACATACTGGAAGAACTTTTAATGAGAAGAAAATAAAGATGCAAGGGAAAAAAGGCATTTAGAAGAAAAAAATTTTTTAAGGTATCATTAGCAATTAGTAATAATTATATTTCACTCACAAACATTCACAAACAAGATTTTTCTTGATTATTGAATATGACTTTTTTTAAAAATGGCGGTTTGTAATTAAATAAAGCATGTTACATTATAAGAATTAAATATCAAGTACTAGCTTTATCCATAGGTATCACAAGCAATTCAAAAGAATTAACAAATAATAATTTTTCTAATTACTGACAAGTCACTTTTCTATTCAGACATTGTTTTTATAAACTTTTTTAATCTTAGGGTTACTTCTTCTGCCCAAAAGTTTGCCTATAAATAATCTCCCCTAGGAGGTCCCTAAACTTCTCTTTCTCCTTTTTTTTAAATTTTTTTTTACAGTTTTACCTTTTTAAAATTACAGTTGACGTACAATATTATATTAGTTTCAGTGATTAGACATTTATACACCTTACAAAGTGATCATCCTGATAAGTCAATAACTAGTTTATTTTTCTGAATGTTTGATTATCACTAGAGGCAGCCACTGAGCACCTCCATGCACTTCTCCTGAGGCACTGGGAGGACATCAGTTTTAGCTGAGCTTGATTGTTTATGGTGACAAGATAGGATAAAAATAATGACTGGCCTAGCAGCCAGCGTGAGCGGCCAGCAGCCGCAGTGAGCGGCCGTCCAGAAGCCGGCGACTGATCTGCCTCGCCAGAGAAGAGCGCAATGATGGTGCC